AGATAAAATGTCGACTGACACAACTTTTCAACAGCATTTCTGCAGAATCATGTCTTCTAGAAGTTCAACGGACGATAATATTCGAATTCCTTAATATATCAAGTGCTGGAGTAATGTTTGAATGGATTTGAATAGTAATCGGTCAGAGACATGGCTTATCGCGACTGATAAGGTATGGGAGGTCACGACATCTGTCTGCTATCGGAGAAAGCAAACAACTTGCTGCACATATACCATAATTCTATTTATTATTTGTATTATATAGCCGAGTATAGTCTGTTGAGAAATTGAAATATTTACAATCACTCTGATAGATTTTTCAGTCACAGTTTTGCTTAGTAACAAAATGTTTGTTTATAATCTCAAACCTGGCTTTCTAAAGTTTGAAACACTTTTGTAAAGATATTGCTATCTCTGTAATACATTATACTAGTATTATAAATACGTAAGTTTAAATGGATGGATTGACAGATCGATGAATGGATGGATGTTTGTTAGAAGGTATCTCCGAGATTGCACAACAGATCTTGATGAAATTTGGCACATATGAAGAACATAGTCTGAAAGAACACATAGTTTACTTAGTAAGTTTTTAAACGGCACGGACGGAGTCGCGGTCGATAGCTAGTTTAAACTATTTATGTGAGATTTTGGGCATTTCTACGGTCATTTATTTATTGTAACATCTGGAGAAAAATCAATAAAAGACATACAGAAACGTATTTATCAATGAACCCTTTAATAACAAATTATAATATCAAGTTCCTTGTTAATTTGCACATAAAGCATACCCGGTGTGTTTCGGCGACAGAAAACCCGCTGCTTCAATTACACTGCATCACAGGCCCGGTTATTTTATTCAATTTACATAAAATAACAATCGACACATGAAATTTGACCACAAGGAGCAAAAGGGGGTAATTTATACAACGAGTTCATGATAGCGTTCAATCTTAACGATGGGGACTTTATAAGATGCAATTTATAAAACGATAACAAGAATACTTATTAAAATTAGGCTTCCCTTTACCCTTAAAATTTATTTTTTTAGAATTATATCAGACCGTTCCTGAGATCAAAATCTCTGTAATAATAATAATCATAATATAATAATTACACAAAAGGCAGTTATCCTAGAAACCGCACGCATCGTGAGAAGGTTCCTGTCTCTGCAGCCCTGACCACTAGTTGTTTGAGTCATGTGACTCCGCAGCCGGTGGTGCTCTATTTTTAATATTAGTATATTTCTTTTATATAAAATGTAATATATTAAAAATAAGTTTAATAAGTGTGTAATAATTTTATTTATATCAGACAACATAAATCCATATTTTTATTCTTATCCTAGGGTTAGTAAAGGCTTAAAAACTAATGTTAGTATTCACAATTTTTATTAAATTTATTGTAATTACATAAAATATATTGCCGTCCCTGTCATCTTTAAAAAAAACCAGAATCAACAATTTATTTTAACGGGTATTTTGTTTCCAGAAACCTACGGTAAGTATTCATTAAGGTACTGTGTGAGTCATCCAATTCTTGAAAGAGATGTTATGCTGGTGTACTACTATTAAAAATCGTCAAACGGATATCCTCAACTTATCTAAATCGTGTAAATACAAACGTTCAATATTAACAAAGGATAAACATTGATAATTTTGAACGCTTACTAAAAAAACTTATTCATTCTTATATAAAATTTACCCAAATTTCTTAACTGAAACAACATGGTCTTTTATATTACTCAATAATTCACTATATTTTGGGATACATTTATTAATTTGAAACCATTTTTCATTCTTCTTCCTCTTGAGATGGCTCTCCGACTAACGAAGGGTTGGCGATCAGTTCTCCATATTTTCTCTTGTCTCATTAAATGGTAAGTTTTTTCCATAACGACAACAAGAGACCATCTTTCTTTTGTTTTTATAAACATTAAAAATATTGTATGCATAAAATTAATTTGTCTCTAAAGTAATCAATTTAATATAGTTAATTCATGGTTTAAATATCAGGAAAAGGCCGTAAGTTTGCAAAGTTACGGTAACAAAGACAAAATCAGTCAAGAGCTGGCGACAGTATTATCACAGGCACAAACTTTGTATAGCCCCTAGTGTTTACTTTGCAACAATACGCCACTTTTTTTTTTAATCGGCCCGCAATCTCCCATTTCAGAGAAGGCCGTGTTGACATTGCCGTGACATTTCCGCTCCTATCCTTTACCAAAAACGTAATCTACGTTTATTTTGTTAGTTTTGGTTGAAATTTTGTAAATAAAAAAAAGTTTACATTGAATTAAATGTTTCGATACTTGATAAAATTCACTGGAGAAGATTTTTTAACGATATGATATCATTCATTACAATTTTACGTTTCGACTATTCGCTTTAAAAGTGTAAAACTTCTTGCAAGCTTTTATTTCTTATCAAAGAAGAGCTTTTATCTCTTAAGACTTACTTTACAATGCTACGTTTAATAACAAACTATTCAATAACAAAGCACATCGTGAAATTTAAACGAAAACGCTACGAATTAGTTTGATAACAAAATGTATTAGCTTCAATAATCACACAACTATTGATATAATAAAACGACAGGCGTTACAACATAAAATTATAGTAATAACACTTATAAAACTCGACAAACGAGATACACGCGTGACGATATGAAGACAATAAAACAAGACAGAACTTAATCCTACTCAGCATGCGACACACAGACGGACGGGGCCGTAAATACATTCAGCTTGTGTCCGAGGCGATAAACCCCCAAAATTACGCTCGGAACGTGCCCGCGAGCACACAAACAAAACTTAATAGGCTGACAAAAACACACAACAATACGGGGCCCGGAATCGAACGCGCGTGCGACGCATGCGGGTAGTTTTTACCATTTATGAGTGTACACCATAATGACTTCATAATGTCGACAGTCACTATTCGGAATGGTCCCGTATTTGAGTATCCTTTGAAACATTCATTGAGGGCAGACGTATGTAATTGTCGAAAATGTACGGTTAATTAAAACATATCGTATGTCAAATCCTACACTCGTGTGAACATTTCCAAATATAAATTCATCTTACGATATATGTATAAACATAGCAGTCCGAGGGTAATAGCACTGTAGGACAATCGAGTTGGCCTCAGTCAAGAGCTAAATGCTGTTATTTACGAATTCGTAGTTTGACAATTAGTCTGAGGGCATTTTCAAATTTACCATATACGGATTAAACGGACGATAATCCTTTAAAGTAAGAATAGTTTGCTTACTATTTAATCCTATAAAAATTGATCCATCCCCAAACATAATGCAATATCCTGTCGCACATATAGCAGGGTCAATATAACAGCAATGGTCATCGTTCCCGTATGAATCAACTGTCGAACAGTTGCATTGATACGATCACCGGACCCCCGCATGTTATTACGAACCTAATCTAAACATCATTAATGCAACTTCCGCAATAATTAACCGTGAGTCAGGATACGTGATGTAAAATTGCAAGCCGCCACGCGCAACATTCGCAAACCCTCTGACATGGTCACTAAGTATGGGGTTGAGGGTGAAATATTACGTATGAACTACAAAATATGAAACGTAAATCAAAAAGCGAGTGACGGGTGATTATTTATTACCTAATGAAATATTACGTACTTTATTAACTTCACAAGCATTCCTCGCACTCAAAGTCATTAATTGGCCGCTTAGGGAGACCCGAGTGTAGTTTCTCCACTAAGGAATTATTAACCCTAATCATCATTAAAGGAATTCACTGTGACAGATAGTACCGAATCCTTAAAATACGTATTATAAAATTGACACATCAAACTACTTATTATTATTAAATTTGAGTTCATTGTTATAGTTACAAAACCGCAAAATAATAAAAAAACCGCAAAGAATATAATTATTCACACTATGCAATAATTCAAAATGGCGTCAATAAAAAATGGTTAGATCATATTAAATGGTATGAATTCGACAAGGAAAACCAAATCCATTAATAACATTGGTGATGCCGGTAAAAAATGGGCGTTATGTAGACAGAATAAACATCGACAGACATTGCGACCGCGCGACATCGCACCACTTTTTCCAATACTGTACATCATTTGTCACCGGCTCTCTTCTGGAGGGGCGCACGGCGAATTCTGAATAACAGACATCGGCCTAAAATATTCGCTGAAGCGGATTAACTATCGTTAAGTAATTTCGATTGTTATACATATTTCGAACTTAGTTAAAGAAATGAAAGGGAACGTTAAACTTAATGGATGGATTAATATAATCCATTGTACGATAATCGAAAAATTATTTTAATTCTTAGATAGACTCCATAATAAATTTCGAGTGATACAACAACTTTCAATATTAAACATCTTCAGTCATAAAATTCTGTAAAAACAATAAACTTACCTCAAGGCATTTCTATTAATTGAACATTTAATTATTAAGTATACGATAAAGTTTGTAAATTAGACCAAAGAGAAACAAGAGCAGGAGGCAACAACAAGCGATAAGTAGAGGATTTAGCGAGCATTATGCCCTTTTAGAGAATTTCCCCGGCGTTCACAATGATTAACGACCACCGTGGCGTCGCAGCCCGCGGCCCGGGCACAACAAACTTTGCCAGTTTTTAAACGGTTAACGCGACACGGCGACAATTTTCAACGTTATCATTTAAATTTTAAATCAAATCATCTTTTGAGTCTGATACATACCTAACTTTTTCAATATTTTGATTTTAAACAGTGTATTTCGATTTGAATTCAATTAAGACTGTTGTAAAATAAAAATTAATCTGGTTTAAATTATATCACCAGATATAAATCTACATTCGATAAATATAGCAAGTAAATAAAATATGTAAAGTTATGCAATTTAAAAATGTATTTAACTTAATAAAATTACTGAATAAAATGAACTATAGTAGGTTAAAAACAGTTTTGGTGTTAATTAAAATATTTTCGTTCAATTCTTAATATAAAATTACTTACGTTATTCATATATGGTAAGAAAACCTTGGTGAAAACGTACCTGAAAGAAAAAAGACAATTTTATTATTAACTTTTAAATAACATACTAGGCATATTACCGGTTAAGAAAATAAAAATCCGGCTATGTGCGAGTCGGACTCGCGCATCGTGTGTTCCGTACAAACCAGTATACAAGTAAAATTTACGATTTTACCATTTCTTTTGGACTGCGTTGGCTTAGAAGAAATTTTCATAGCTGCAAGAAACAGTAGACCAGAGTATTTGATATTAATTTCAGCTTGATACCTCCACGCGGTGCTGATAAAAAGGGTCTTGACAGACAGACAACAAAGTAATCCTATAAGGGTTCCGTTATTTCCTTTCGAGGTAACCCTAAAATTCGATCAATATTTCTACGCAAGAGTAAATAATGTAATTTGACATACATGTCGCAATAATTATGATTGCAATATCGACAACATTTTACATCATACGACAGAGAAATAAAAAACATCAAGGAGAATATAAGAAGCTTAGTGATGTATTGATCGACATTCGTATCAAGGTGACCTTCTTATTATTGCTCAATAAATTAATTGCACAGACAACGTGCACTTGCATTTTTATCACAAACGTTTATTTCTGAATTAATACTCATAGTACGAAATCGTTTACAAATTTCCCTCCCTGGTCGGAGATCCAGAGACAAAAAGACCCAAAACGAGATGGAAAGATGTAGCAGTAAAAGACATGAGTTTGTGCCAAGTCTCAGAAGATGTCGAGAACAGAGCGAAGTGGAAGAGACTGATTGGGAAAGCGGAGCCCATCACCTTGTGAGATGCAAGCTAGGCAGAGAGAGAGAGAGAGAGAGAGTAAGAAATCGTTAAGTTTTCAAGTGTTTAAATTAGAAATCCATATGTGTATCGACATTTATCTGTCTAGAGTCTAGACGTTTACCTCAAGGAATGAAATATGAACTCTGGCACATAGGATGCGTGGTTAGTGTCAAGCGCCGGCGCCAATACTGCGAGCGATGACTCAAAAGTTTATTTATTAAGCGTGTTTAGTGCATGGCCTGCGTAAAGAAAACCGACGGAATTACGTATACAAAAACAGAGTCGATGGCATAGTAAATTCATGGCAATATAACTCACATATACTCCTAAAAAGCGAAGTAAGAATCCGTTTATATTATGTGTCTTTCAAAAGAAGAATGCCATCGATAAACTAGTGCTATCCAATAAACGTACTTTACTAGTTACAATTTCCCTGATTTGATTTACGATGCAAATGCACCTTGTACTCAACAAGAGTTGAAATCAACGACGTGTAGATCTCATTGCAATCTATTGAAAGCATTCACCGACATCCGGCACTGAGCCATCACTCACCGTCCGCGAACGAATGAAACATGAACACCATTCGTTCAGCGAACGGCAGTTTATCGCGGCCCAACACAAAACATGCCGGCGTAAATCACAGGAGCGGCAATAGGTGAATGAATCACTCACATAATACAGCTCTCTGTTACCGTTCCCCGCGTCAGTCATTCCATTCCAGAATGCACGGCAAAGTTCACCTTCCTTCAGAGTTAGATATTGATTCGTTTCGTTTAAAGATTACCCTTTTCACTCAAAATTATACTTCAAAATTCTATGAATATATTTAGCTGATTGATTTTAATGCTATTATAAGATGTAAATCTATTAAAATGAATTATCAAATCATGATATAACTTAAAACTTCTTGAAGAGAGCATAATTTTATCTGTGACTACCGAAACAACGGTGCGTGCCGAAGGCCTGATTTTAGCCCTCTTTCCCTTCCTATCTTTTTCTTACAAGTAAAGATTGAGAAGGGTGGTAGAATTGTCGGAGAAGGGGTGCATAGGAGGTGAAAATATTATTTTCCTTTGCGTCCCCTCCTCAGTCTAGTAAAGGTTGCCAACGCATCTGCAATTGTAGATGTCTATGGACAGCGATCGCTTCGCAATTCGACGAATTCAGTTGTTGTTTGAACGCTTGCCATGTTATAATATAAAAAATCGCTAACTTAATATAAACAAAAGAGTGTCACAACAATGCTTTAGTTGTTTAGAGGTCATTGACCGGTATGTCACATGTTTTAATAGTGAAATGACACGTAACTCACGCGCAGACTTTACGGCTTCTTTTAATCTCAAATACTACGATCGGTACTTTGACTTTGTACTATCGGCTTTTTGCTTTGAACTCGTACATTAGTAATAACAAATTTATAGGTTCTAACAACTACATTTAGATTGATCTTGAACGTATAAATTGTCTCCCACTGTGCATTCGTTTACTATACTAAAGATCCATCAAGGTTCAGTTAAATGAACCATTTTTATTAACTTCAGTTTAATTAACTATAAGTATAATTAACTTTAAGTAGTATACATGACCTTGGACCGTTGCTAATTGTTAAACAAAAGACGAACATCTATATGTAATACGAGTAATGACGAATTAATTCTGAAAGTTAACAACAACATTGAGTCAATATCAAACACTTTCTTATCTATTAAAGAAATACACTTCACTTAAGTTACCTAAGATAGTTTATGTTAGAAATCTCTCGACGTTATAACTTGTGCTCATAAATAATAGCAGAATGAGTGATAAAGTACGCTTTGATTGAGTTTGCGGGGAGTTCGCGCATTGAGTCAAACTTCTAAGCTCGGAAACCTTAGCGAGATTAATATCTCACGTACAAGGGACTTGCAACTTTCATATAAATATAAAAGCTTTATTATTTAGTTTACTATAGATTTTCATTGATTCCATTTACACGAAAAAAGCAAAAATTATACTTAGATCAAATAAAACAACATAAAAATTAAAAAAGACGAAACCTATAATTTATAATGAACTAGCATAGCCCGCAACTTCGTCTGTGCAGATTAAAACATTGTGTGAAAAGTATGGAGATAGGACATACATTTTACAGAGATTCGTTTCGCCGTACGCCATACCTAATAACATACATCCATCTAAACTTACGCGTTTTATAGTATTATTAAGAAGAAATATAAAATATCGCATCCTCATAAGTTAAAGAGATATATAGTTTAACATAAGTTAGATTCAAATATAAAATATAAACTCACTAACGTCTGTTTAATCAATAAATTAAGCATTAACAAACATTTCAAAGGCGCAATATTAAGCATTACAAGACCCCCCCAGTAGACCAATAAAGCATGTTAATATGATTGGTACAGACCACGACATGGCCACTCGAGATGTAGCGTCTGTCAGTCTAGACCGGACGTCAGAGATGTAATTAATTGGCCGCTGGTGGAAGGAATTATGAGGGGGTGACCTATTACTAAATACATAACGGTTTAATCATTGTAACACAAGAAGTTAACCTTGAATTAGTTCTTGATAAGTGAGTGCATAGGAAACATATGTAATACGTACATTTAGTGATATGAAAATATTTTGTTTATTTTTGGACTTTTACCGTTCGGATCAACGAAATACTAAGGAAGAGCGTAATTAAGAGCATCCGAAGCAGACTTTTATGCGTAGATATGTGAATGTAGAAGAAGACAGAGAGGTGTATTAGAACCGCTAAATGAGGTTCCGGTGCGTTCCTTTGGAGATCCCGGGACCCTCGCAGTCGCACCAGTTGGCCACCGAGGGGGTTTTAGTGAGTAAGAATCTCACATAAACCTGTCTTTCCCCCCAAAAAGCAGGGTATCTTACGAAGATTCCCCCCCCCCCTCCCCCGATAAAAAAAGACCGCTTAATGAAGGTCTGTGGTCTGTTTATCCCCCTGGGTTATAGACGTGAGTTATGTTGTTTTTGTTGTATATTTGACATAATTTTATGACATTGCATCGAATACAGTTTAATTATAGATTAAAAATAACCTTAATTATCTTTATAACAATTAATTACAAGACAGTCTTACTTTACAATGGGTGTGAGTCACACGCGGTGATATATTGCACTGACCCTTGATATATCATGCACGTATATGTCATTGATCCCACTCAAAGTCATGCGACATAACACACATATACATTTAATTGTTTACTAATATCTAAATAAAGATTGGAATGCAGTACATTTCCATAAAATCACAATTAAAAGTCAGTACGCGATTACGCGATGTAAAAGAACAAAAATATACAAACGAACTGAAAACTTGCTTTTACAATCAGCTAACATCACTGTCGTTTGATATTATCTACTATGTTTATACTCCGTTTGCATTAATCCAGTCCAGAATCCAGCACTGGAAAGTGCGTTATATCCAGTGATGTTTTACATTTTTCTAGTTATTATTTTAGCGCTAGATTGGAATTAGACATTCTATTTAATATAAACACTTATGTCAAATAACGATCGTCGATTACAAAAAGAAGTTAAAGAATAACTGTTTCGTTGCAGTAGGTTTCCATTGCCAAAACACCCGGAAGAATACATATAGTTCTACTTTTCTTCAAAGATGTAATGGGATTATAATATGTTTTTGTATGTATTTCAGTGGAAACCCACTGTAAGATTCCATGTGACAACGCAATAAGGTTAGGGAGAGCGATCCGCAGAACTCGCTCGAAGGGGATTTTAATAAACTATGAAGTGTCGAAGTTTGCTATAAAATTTGCAAAATGGCGCACAGAGTGAGAGCGGGCGGGAAGGATTAATTATTAAATATACCCTTGTATTTTGACTTGGGAATTTAGTTTAATTCCCTTAGCGTACATTGACATATAATAATCATAGTTTCGATTTCAACACGTGCACCACCGACTCGCCTACCAGGTTGACATACGAAAAAATTAATAGCATGAAACGTGTTAACGAGCAATATTGTAGTAAAAAATAATTATCACGAATAAATGTAAATGATAAATACATCTATTTAATGTCTTCATAACTGTACAAGTATAGAAAATAATTGAACAATTTAATATGTAGAACAATAATTACAAAAGGGCGAGTTTATGGATACATTTATCGATAGACAAATCCCCTAGCGACATGAACTGATTGGTATCAATGTAAGCTCTTCAGATTACAACCC